CACAGGGAGGGGAGCACTACACACTGGGGTCAGTTGGGGGGAAATAGGGGAGGGACGGTGGGGGGTGGGGAGCTGGGGAGAGATAGCAAGGGGAGAAGTGCCAGATGTAGGTGATTGGGAGGAAGGTAGCAAATCACACTGCCACGTGTGTACCTATGCAACAATTTTGCATGCTCTTCACATGTACCCCACAACCTAAAATGCAAGAAAATAAATAAATAGGGGGAAAAAAAAGAAGGTGACAAAGCCAACACATACTCTAAATCTCATCTTCCTAACTCTAAATCTTATGCTTGCTATCATCATGCCAAACTGTGATATGCTTCACAGTATTTCAACAAGAGCTGGACACTCTGTTCAAACTTATTTCCATGTGGAAATACAATTCATGCCTGAGTTGAGAATGTCAGGATCAACTATCCATTGAAAAGTTCCAGAAACTGGGGAATAGAATCACTGAGGCCAGAAATCAGTAACATATTAAGGCTTCACCAGAGAAGGCAACTCCTACGTCTACACATCTTTCTCTCCAGATACTCATCTGTCAATTATTCTGATTTAGGAAATTTGGAAAATAATATAGCTAAAGGCTAAGTGTTTAATGGTTAGAGAAAATTAAAGACAGAGAGAGATTGTCCATAACTTAACCATTTCTAAGTTCAAATCTAAACAGATGAGTCTTTGTTGCTACTATAAGATACACACACACACACACACACACACACACACACACACGAATATGAATATGTATATGAACCTGAAAATATATTTGCATACATATGACTATGGACCTGTACCCCCCACCAGGGCACAGGATGTGCATATATCCACATTTCTTCCCTACTGCTCCCCTAGGGGTCATCTGCAAGTTCCCCTACAAATCTACTCTCCATGTTAACCATGAAAATCCCCTGCTAGATAAAATTATGTTTCATCTTTAAAGACTTGGTTTAGAAACACATACCAGATAAATCTATTTAGTCCCTGGCATCATTTTCATAGTGTTATGGGATGAATATTGTGTCTTCCCAAAACTCCTATGTTGAAACTCTATATCTCAATTCTGATGGTCCTGGGAGAAGAGCCACTGGAGCATAATTATGATGAGATGAGGTCATGAAGGTGGAGCCCTTAGGAATGGAATTAGTGCCCTTATAATAGTCACTAGAGAACTTGCTTCCTCTTCTCTGCTCCACAGCATGTGAGGATGCAATGAGAAGACAGTTGTCTACAAGCCAGAAGAGGCTCCTCCCTAGAACCCACTGTGCTGCACCCTGATCTGGGACTTCCAACTTCTAGATCTGTGAAAAATAAATGTCTGTTGTTTATAAGCCACCTAGTCTATAGTAACTTCTTACAGCAGTGAGAACTAAGACACACTGTTACTCTAAATATTTTTTTCAAGTCATTCAAGAATGTGACAGTCAATTTATGTTTTCCAGCCTTCCACTGGGCTGTTTCGTTCGAATGGCCCAAGGGACCTGGCTGTGAGCAATACTTCAGCAGATGCAGAATCAATCATGCACAGGATGGGCTGCACAGTGTCCTCACCCGCTTCACTCATCACCCGGTCATTTTGTTTTATTTGCATCACACCAGCCTCACTCCACCAGAGGCCCTGATGCCATTCTTTCTGCTTCAGCCCTCTTCCCCTAAATGTCTCCATGGCCAGCACCGCCTGCTCTGTCAGGTCCTTGCCTACCTACCAACCTCTTAGGCATGCCACCCCATTAAATGTCCCATTGAATACCCCACTTAAACCTTGATGCTTCTCCCACCTCACTCATATATTCTGTAACTTCCCACCCCTCTCATCCTGCTCTGTTTTCCACAGGACTTACTATCTTCCCACTCATTATAAAGTTCCTTTTATTTTTTGAGGTAGAGTCTCACTGTCACCCAGGCTGGAGTGCAGTGGCACAATCTTGGCTCTCTGCAACCTCTGCCTCCTGGGTTCAAGCGATTCTCCTGCCTCAGCCTCCTGAGTAGCTGGGACTACAGGCGCATGACACCACACCCAGCTAATTTTTTGTATTTTTTTTTTTTTAGCAGAGACAGGGTTTCACCATATTGGCCAGGCTGGTCTCAAACTCCTTTCCCCACCTCATCATCCTCCTGCCTCGACCTCCCAAAGTGCTGGGATTGCAGGCGTGAGCCACCACACCAGGCCAGCCTCCCTAAATCTATATATGCTTTTCAAGGGCTTTTGTTCACTGACATGTCCCAATACCTATTCCATGCCCAGGTATACATTAGGTCTTCAATAGATAGCTATCACTCAAGAAAAGAACAAATAAAATATCTCACTCAAATGCAAATTTACATAATGCCAGGAAATTGCTGTAACCAAAATATGTTCTACTAAGGGCTTTCACAGTAACTCCTCCATCTGTACCTGTGTGCTATCGTCTCTACTGTGATATTGACCTTTAATAAGAGTGAGAAACTCTTCATGCTTGACCCGGTCCCTCTGGATGTCGATCTTTAGGGTAAGCAACAAGGTGAACAGGAACTTGTGCTCCTCATACAGCCCTCGGGCAGCATACTTATAAACCTCATAGGTCACGTGCTCGATGACATTAGCAATCCTCTTGCTTGTAATTGGGTTCTTGACGGACCTGGTGAAGAGAACATTTAAATCAGGCTTATCCCACTGCCCTTTTCAATTCTCTGTAAAAACAATTGTCTTTAATGGAAAATAAGTAACCTTGGAGGAAGAATTCTTATTTTTACACAAGAGTAAGCCTCCTAAATCTAAAATAACAAGCACTCTCTCAACATGAAATAACATAACAGAATCCTGAATGTTGTCTAAATCAATTCTACCTGCAGGGCATGATCACTCACAACAATATCTAGGGATTTTCTTGTTTAACAGAAATACATGAAGCCAAAGAAATCAAATCAATGGATAAATAGTTGATAGTGCTTTCTCTAGGCGTAAAATGACAAATGAGACAAATCAGAATGATTTGTTAGCACACTGGTAATTACGCTGATCTGAGATTTAAAAAAGAAAACGACTCTTACTAAGAAAGGAGAAGGAAGTTATAAATGTAATGTCATCATTTTAGTCCGCAGATATAGAATTCAGCTTGGCTTTCCTAGTACAGACGTACCTGGCTAAGGAAAGGTCAAATAAGCCCAGAAACTGGCGGAGTGAAGTCTGATACATCTCATTAACCAAGCGCATCTCGGTAATGAGGAAGTAGAGGATGCTGCCCCGTGTAGCCACTGGAAGACAAAGAGCAAGGTTGCATGTGCTACGAGAGAGGAAAATAAATGACCCGTGCAAAGGGATCAGCCTGAACTCTAAATGAAAACAGCAATCAGTGGCTGCCTACCAGATATGGGATACAAAGCAATACTCATTTGTTAACATATTTAGTTCTTATTTACAACATTTTGTAAGTAATTGGCTATTTGTATTTATTAAATGGTACTTCTCATTTTAGAATCTCTAGACCCCTGGTAAATATATTTTACTATTTTTACTATGGGTAGAAGACAACCAAAAGAATTTCAACTGATGTAGGTGATGGGGAGAAAGGCAGCAAATCACACTGCCACGTGTGTACCTATGCAACAATTTTGCATGTTATTCACATGTACCCCAAAACCTAAAATGCAATAAAATAAATAAATGGGAAAAAAAAAAAGAATTTCAAAGGTTCTGTATTTAATACCCAGGAAGTGAGGTAGCCATGAGGGACCTCATCGTCAAGTTCCGGGGAGAAGCATGCCTGACCTGGGCTTCCAGTCTGCAAAACAAGCCGTTGCAAAGATGATGCTTCTGCCTCTCTATCAATAAATGACACTTTGATTATTTTTTAAGAGGAATAATAAAATACTAAAAGATAGCCAACTGAATTATTTAGCAGGTTTCTCTTGTACAAGGCCATTTGCAAATTGGTGGCTGAGGATAAAAATCTCCCATGAGACCACAGAACTACCTTCCCAATACAAAGACTATACACAAAATACCAGCATAGTGTTACCAAATGATAAACAACTGGTGCACTAATTCCTCAGATTTCACTAATTTGTAGTCATCAGACTTTTTAAAATTCTCCTTCTTTACTTACTAACATCAAAATAAGTTCATGAGAACCTTAAAGGATTTACCAACTAACATGAATGACAAGTACCTAGGAATTTTATACCATTATGAAATGTTTTGACCTCCATTTTACTGAATATTTCCCAACAGAAATTCCACAAAACATCTCTACTTTGCATAATCATTTGGATAACTCCCTCACATCCTTCCATTTCTCTAATTCTCATTTCTCTCTCATTTTCCTGTGACATTTGCCTTTCATTGCCAAACTCACCAGGTCTGTATTCCTCCCGGGCTGAGTTAATTTGAACTTCTGTCTCAGCAGAAATTTCTAGTTTCTGTGTTACCTCCTCGGCTGTCCTTTTTGTGTTGCTCAGCACAACAATAAGACTCTCATCTTCTACCAGGGACCCCTGGGTACTTGTGAGGCGGTAAAGCAAGTTATCTTCCAGTTCCTTCATCCTTCTTTTGTTTGCGGTTACATCTTCCATCAGATGAGTTCTTTCTTTCTCCAATTCCTGTTAATTTTCATAAACATATTTTCTACTTCAATTAAAAACTCTTGTTGAGTATTCCTTAAGACGTTAACCTACATGGCTGCTTTCAAGCTCCTGTACTGTATTTATCATACTGCAGGAAATACGGACATCAAAAAAAGGAGAAGGGCCAGGCGCAGGGGTTCACGCCTGTCATCCCAGCACTTTGAGAAGCAGAGGCAGGTGGATCATTTGAGGTCAAAAATTCGAGACCAGCCTGGCCAACATGGTGAAACGCTGTCTCTACTAAAATACAAAAAAATTAGCTGGACATGGTGGTGCATATCTGTAGTCTCAGCACTTTGGGAGGCTGAGGCAGATGGATCATTTGAGGTCAGGAGTTTGAGACCAGGCTGGCCAATGTGGTGAAACCCCACCTCTATTAAAATACAAAAAAATTAGCTGGGCATGGTGGTGCATGCCTGTAGTACCAGCTGCTCGGGAAGCTGAGGCAAGAGAATCCCTTGAACCAGGGAGGCAGAAGTTGCAGTAAGCCAAGATCACGCCACTGCAGTCCAGCCTGGATGACAGAGTGAGACTCTGTCTAAAATAAAATTAAGAAATAAAATAAAATGTTGAAAGAAGGAGGAGGAGAAGTAACAGAGGAAGGAATAATAGGTGCCAAGCAACATGAAACCTACTAAAAACACTACCAGCATCCTTTTAATCAGCCACTTATTTTCTAAATTCAAATCAGTTTCAGGTGATTGTTGTGGTTATATTTAATATTATACATATAATCTTCTTTTGAAGGGGAAATATATTTGAAGACAAAGATATATATATATATATATATATATATATATATATATATCTGATTAAATAATTTACATCTCTCTACTTGCTTGAGAGAGTTCCATTATTTTTTAAATGTGGTTATTTCAAACTTGCTAATTGAAATAGTATCTAAGTCTTTGAAAAGCTACTTTCTGAAATCTCAGGCAAGCAACATAAGCTGCAACCACAAGCATGTTTAAACTGAAAAGTCTTCTTGGTCTGCTGTTCTCTCCAAGAGCAGGGAAGTTCTGCATCTTTTCTGAGGGAGCTTTGTAGACAGCTGGGAGAGTGAAGCCTTGGAAGAGTATTAACCTTATTGTCCATTTCTTCCTCTTGGCAGCTTGGAGAGGGAGAGACAGAGAAGAGAAAGAAGGAAAAGATGGAGCTGGTGGCAAGGGTGGAGGAAGGAGAAATAACCCATGACACTGAGCAAGCCACAGGAAGAGGAAGCCCGAAGGCAGGGGGACAAAAGACAAAATATGCTTCTGGAACCAAGTCAAATTATACATGGATATCAACTTGCTTTATGAGAGACTCTATATCTGTGAAGCTAAAGAAAAGAATCAAAATGGAAAGAACAATGAATAAATGGTATTTACAAATTTAAAATGAAATTTATGTATTAGAGAATTTATTTGAAAAGCTTCCTGGATTTGGAGTCCATTGACAATTTACCTATGTTTAACTGCATTTTTAATGTACAATTCATTATAAGCAACATATGGGGAAACTAGGGTTAAATGCAGGTGACAAACAGCAGAATCATAGGAAAGCAGTTTTGACAGTTCTGATTGGACTCAGTGCAGCTACCTGAACATACGGTACCAGGCTCAAATCTCTAGACCAGCTCCAGAAATGTACATTCTCAACTGGGTAGTCTAGATATGACTCAGTAGATGATATTGTTTGGCTCTGTGTCCCCACTGAAATCTCACCTTGAACTCTAATCCCCATAATCCCTTGTGTCAAGGCTGGGACCAGGTAGAGGTAATTGGGTCATGGGGGTGGTTCCCCCATGCTGTTCTCATAATAGTGACTGAGTTCTCACAAGATCTTGTGGTTTACAGCTGACATTTCCCCTGCTTGCAGTCACGCTGTCCTTCCACCCTGTGAAGAAGGTGCCTGCTTCTCCTTTGCCTTCTGCCATGATTGTAAGTTTCCTGAGGCCTCCCCAGCAGTGCAGAACTGTGAGTCAATAAAACCTCTTTCCTTTATAAATTACCCAGTCTCAGATATTTCTTCACAGCAGTGAGAGAACAGACTAATACAGTAGGTTTTGTATATTCTACTCCCTATTGAGAGAGCCAGAAATCTAAAGTAATGCAGTGATGAATCATAAGAAACTATTTAAGACATAATGGACTGCCCACTAATTAATTATGAAATTTATCTTTGTTATGATCCAGTATGCATACAAACATTGAGGGAAAGGAGAGGCCAGACCTAGCCCCAACCATCATTATTAACCATTATGCAAGTACTTCCCTTTAGTGGTTCTCACAATTATTCATTTTTAGTACTAGTTTATGCTTATGAGAAACTTATTCACATACTACTCCAGGAATTACATCTTTTTTAAACACTATCGCTATGCTGATAACTCCCAAGTTTATATCTCAGCTTCAGATCATACCTCCTTTCACTTGGACATCAAGAGATGTCTCCTACTTAGCACCATCAGCAAAACTAAATGCCTGCTCCTCCCTTCAAACCTGCTCAACCTCAGCCTTCCACAGTCCAGCAAATGGCAACATTATTCTTCCAGATGCTCTGGCCAAAACCTTTGTACCCTGCTTGGTCACTTTCTTTTTCTCAAATTCAACAACAAATTCATTGGCAAATCCTCTCTTCTCCACTTCAAACTTAGATTCAGAATCTAATCATTTCTCACTCCTTCCCCTATCAGCACCCTGGTGTAAACAATCATCACCTCTCCCCCATATTAGGAGATCTAAATAGGTCTCCCTAACCCCAGCTTTACCCCCCAGTCTACGCCCAGCCCAGCAGTCAGAATGATGCTACTAAAACATACTTTCTCTGTCAAAACTTTACAATGGCCAATCTTTCCACTCAGAATGAAAGGTAAAGACCTTACCAAAGCCTATAAGCTATCCCAAGCAGACCCCTCCTTCATTACTGCTGGGACCTCATTTCCTACTTTTCTCCCCTTTTTATTTTGTTGCAACCACATTTGCTATTTCCTGCATCAGCGTTTTTCAAACTTCAGTGCATTAGAATCATCTGGAAGGCTTGTGCTGTAGGCCTGGAGCAGCACCTGGGAATTTGCACTTCTAATCCCATGTGATGTGATGCTGATATTCCAGGAAACACACTTTGAGACTCACTGTCTTAAAGACACGAAGAACTCTCTTGCCTCAGGGCCTCTGCATTGGCTGCTGCTCTGTCCCTTCTGTTCTTCTTCCAAATAACTCACTCTCTTCCCTTATTCGTCTTCCTCAAATGTTACATTCTCAGTGAGGCCCACTGTGATCACCCTCTTTAAAATGCTAGCCCACCAGCTGACTCCCCAGCTCTCCTGCTCACCAATGTCTGTACTTTGTATGGCATTTACCATCTTCTAACATAATATATAACTTACTTATATATTATGCTCCAGGGATAGTTTGGTTTTTTAGTCTATTTTGTTCATTGATAAATTCCCCAATTATTGAAACAAAGCCTGGTACGTAGTAGGCACTCAATTAATAGTGCAGATTGAATAATTAAATTTGCATCTGTTTTCGAATTGATAAACTTAAACACACAGTGAACTGGAGAATCTAGTCTTTGTGCCAGAAATACAGATGTGGAAATGCTCACTCTGAAAACCATGATGTTAAAAAAAAAAAAAAAGAAAGAAAGAAAGGATGTGTAGACAAAATTGCATGAAGGCAAACAGCAAACACTACTGGCCACAGCTTCTTATTTCAGCCAGTTAATCACCACTGATTGAATGGGTATAGGGGGTAGAACCCCACCAGACTCTCAACTCACCCTCAGAGCACAGTGAATCAGGTCTGGGGACATTCTAGGAAAGGAAGAATTCCCTCTTTAAGCCAAACAAAAGTTCAGAATTCATTTCAATTCTTAATGCTTTAAGATGTAGCAACTCAAGCAAAACTTGCTCTTATCAGCTTTGTTTCCATCTGTTATCTGGTTACATATGAAAGCTCCCTTAGTGGTTATTTCAATTCATTGATTCACTAGATAAGAATTTCAAATTTCAGAAAATGTAGAAATTAGTACAAACAAGTGACATTTAATTGCTGCTATAAAATTCATTTCCATAAGCAGTTATAATAAAAGCCCTCTCACAATATGGTTATACTTGGAAATAAAAGTGATAATGAAAATTCAAACAATTTTTATTGCCATATTTATAAATTTCACACACTATCACTATCATTTCTGACTTCCTATAGGTGAGCACTTAAAGGTCTTCACCTGAAGACATGTAAGGGAAGAAATGTAAAGCGGTAGAAAGAGTGATGGCTTTGACATCAGGGAGACATACATTTGAATCACAGCTCTAAAAACCCATCAGCTACATGACATTTGCCATGTTTTAAAACTCTGCAAGCCTCAGTATTTTCATCCACAAAATGTACATAGAAACCGCTCAGAGGATGATGGTGAGGAAGCATGATAATGCTTATTACAAAAATAAGTAGTCTGAATAATCAAGTTGAAATGTGGCACAAAGTAAATGATAAATGATACTTTTGATTTTCACATATTATCATAAAATTGCATAATAAAGTAGCTGAAAACGGATAAGAAAGGAGAACTTAGGCGGCTAAGGATAAATGCTTTTGTGTCAACTGGGAATGAGAACAAGTACTATCACATTCAAAAGCAGCACCAAGTCTTATCAACCCTTCCTGCACAAAAACCTTTATATTTGCCCATTTTTTCAACCACATATCCATTGCCCTACTTGAGAATTTACTTGTCATTCATGGACTACTCTACCAAAACTGGTCTTCCTAATGACCCTTTTCTGTTCTTGGTCACTTAGGAGATCTCCCTAACCTATTTTGAAAGGTCCAAAATTCTCAATATAGTTGGCAAAACCTGTCACAGCCTACATTTCTATATCTTCTCTCTACCTGACAACTATGGAATTGAAGTTAAAATCAGACTTCTAAAATCAGACCTCCACATTGCTTATGAAGCAAATATTAATAACAGAAACACTGTTAGTA